GGAACGGGAGACATTGAGGAGGGAGTTTTTGGCCTTGCAGGAGAAGATTAAGAACGAGGAGATTAGCATTCCGTTTGTCTTTTATGATGGTGGGTGTTATTACTGCTCTGACTTCCCTGGTTGGCCCAAGGCTGACACCTGCTAGGTACAAATGTCGCGCCGCCAACCGGAGAAGGTGTGACGGTCAAAAAGGGTGAGGCTGTATGGCTATTCCTTGAACGTGCCAGGAGAATGTCTGGACGCAGGGAGTGGCTCAGAGTATCGGTCGATGACTTACTACTGGTTCGTGGGGAAGTGATAATACCACATGTACTTCTTCCGCCCCTCCCACCCCCTCCCCAGTGATCGCTAACCCGCTCGGCAGCACTTTGAATTCTACTACTTCATCGTCAATCGCACAATGGGACCCAACGGTTTATTGTTCGACTTCCCTTCATCGCTATCGCCCACCCCCCAGACCTGCACTCGGAACCCCAACAGAGATGATCCCACAATGACCAAAGTTGTGGATCGCCGCTGGTACGAACGAAATAAACACATATTCCCCGCTAGCGTGTGGACGGAATTCGATCCCAATACGGATTACTCAAACATGGTACGGCGGGATATGGGTGGGAATGCCTTCTTCTTCGGCTGAATCCGTCACCATCATAGCGGTCGACTTTGGCTGCCCATGGATAAAAGGACGGAAAGATGGAGCACCAGAAGACCCCTCAGAAAGCCATGGTATGATAATATACATGCTATGCTCTTATGTTTTTCTTTATTCCTTTTTTTTGTATTTTCTCCCTACTCTCCGCCGGTTTGATGACATAGACTACGGGACTCGGACTAATCGTTAGACCAATGTAAAACTTTTCATGATCAATGAAACTGATGATTGGATGCGTCACTCCATTCCAAGTACAGTACGAGGATGCGTCGTCGACGGGCTCTCGCAGTGCTACATATGCTCGAAAGGGTAGTTTTCAGTTACTGCAATAGCATCCATTCTCTTCCCCACATTGCACGCGATCATCATCATCCTCATCATCCTCAGAACCCTCCGCTCCCTTAGCCGCAAGACTACGTCAAAATGGATGGCTTTATCCTCCGCTGCAATGACCTCCGATGTCGTGCTCAAACTGATGGCCGCGCCGTTGTGACTACTTGCAGGTATTCATCCTCTTGATCCCCTTGAACAAACACATGATACCGCTCAAGCTGCGGGATTGGAGTTGCATTTCCTTATCTAGCAACCCGAGCCCTGTACCTGTGCTCGGGGGTGTCGGTAAGCTCGGAAAACAGCACCCCGTTCTCCATAGAGATTTTCACTCGCGTGGGGCGGGTAGAAATGGTTTTCCGATTATATTCACCCCGCTCTTGGAGACATCCATTCCCCCCTACATCCTTTAAGTTGGTTTGCTCTTCCTCACCTTTTCTAGTCACATTTACTGCCTCCCATGCGCCACTGCCCTCCAGCTTACCGAGCCTCCTCCGAACGGTCAGCGAACTTGTCCGGCCTGTAGCACAGCACTCTCCAAGCCGGATGATGCCGTGATCGCAGTCCTCAATCCGAGCGACGACTACAAGACTAGTGTTCTCAGTGGACTCAGTCCAAGTATCATAATAGAAATCTGCACTCGTGGGCTCGCCTTCTGGACCTATCAAGTGACCCAGGAAATGTCCGCGTTAGCCCCTCCCCCACTCTCAGGCGAGGGATTGACCATAGCATAGATTTTATCAAGAACATCTCGCAAAATCCTTACGAGCACGGGGAGCCGAAATTCAAGGGGAGAACGAGAAGATTGTGCGTGATGCTAATGCCGAAATCTCTGCGCTGCGTAATAAAATTGCTGGAATGGTGCTTGTTGAGGATGAGTTAAGAAGGAAAAATCATGAGTTGATGCAAGGATGGAGAGAGAAAGCAAGGAAGCTAGCACAAACACAGGTGCTCTCGACTCACACTTGCCATTCCCAATAAAAGGCCTCGTGCTGACACTGCATAGGAACTCTATGACAAGCTCAAACGCCGAACGTTAATATCCCAAGTACAACAGGCCGCTGCCGACCAGGCTGATCAAGCTCTATATATGACCCCTCACCAACCCTCCGACGCCCGGCACTTTCAGGACTCCCTAGGCAAGTCTGCGGGAAACTATCTCCATCAAATCCGGCCAAGCCTGGAGCCCGAATACACCATAACTGGTGCGAAGATTGGGAGCGTTCACGCCCAGAATGCGGCAGGCCCTGGAGGAAGAACCAGTCAGTCCTTGCAGCGGCCAGGACGGAGACCTGACAATAGCGGGGGCATGTTTTTTAATGGTAGGTATTCGCTCTTTCCACTCCATTCACCTAACACCCCTTAACCATTGAGTAGATCAAATTCCCTTCCCGTCAACTCCTATCGCTAGCCACGAGCACCGTCAACGCTTGAATATCCAATCTACAGCTATACGATTCCCCGGTATACAGAACGAGTACGGTAGACCACCTTTGAGAGGGCTTAATGAGAATACTCGGGGTGGGCGGATGGGAGATGGGGGCAAGAATAGAAGGCTTGAGGTGGACGAAAATGGGAGGGTTGTTCTCGATTAACATTGATAAGGAAATCTTTTTCCCTCGCCCCGATGACGGCGATGATGCTGGTGATGTTTGGACACCGGTTTGGTCAGCTTTATGACACTGGTCAACCGTTTCTTTCTTTCTTTTTTCATTTTTCGGTTAAAAGAAATGGATCATGAGGAAGGGGATTTGAAGCAGATGGTGCTATTCTTGAATTAATTTCTATGGGAGGGGAAATACCAACGACAATCCATACATACGTAATTCCGGGAGGGGAGAAACACTGCTACTGTATTCACAAAGTTCTCGGTTCTCCAAGTGCCCCCAAGATTACGCCAGTGAATGCCTCGGCTAAAACCATTCCGATTAAGAGAATACTTGCTTACCGGGGGTATGATACTTCACTGCACCTCGTCGCAACGAACCCACCTATCTATCCACGACCCCCCCCCTTGACCCGTACTCTAGGGAGAATTTCGCGGACAAACCACCCAAACATAATAACCCTCCCGGAAGCGTAAGCTCCCTACCGACAGAACAATAGAGGACGCGCAGGCGACCAAATCAGCGGGCAGACATTAAGAGCGTGAACGCAAAGCGGATGGGATCATCCAACGACATCCGATGCACGGAGAAATAACCTATCTTATAGCCCAATTAGCACTTTTCCGGCCGGGCGGGAATACAGTTATGGATTCAGAAGTATAGGTCGCGAGACGGAGAACGGAGGGATCAAGGGCGCGTGGTTGTTGAAGCGGCAGAGCATGTGGTAGCATGTTACCCACGGAGGGGAGTGTAAGGCAGTGGAAAGGCCGGAGGGGCGGGTTAATGCCATCTCGACGGCCGGTATTCATACAGGGTTACTTATATACTGATCTCTATGACGAGCCGTGTTGTTAGTAGGGTGAGTGATAAATGGTGATTCTAGGGGTCGTATGATACATATGCTGTGAGGGGGTTTAAATTGGGATTCAAGTTATCATAATGTTCTTCCCCCCCCCTTTCGTTGGACCCCCAGCTCAAGTTGTTATGTGCCGCTTGAGAAACTCTTGACCCGTATCGTGATGTGATCCCCCGGTCGGGTCTGGTCGAATCGCGACCTGAAGAGCCCACAAAGAACCAGAAAAAAGGGGTTAAAAAACTAGAAAACAAAATATCAAAAAATCTGGGATTGTGGGGAACGCTGGGAATAAGAGTAGTGGGGTTTCGGAGCATTTAATTACTAAATTGGTGTTTTTTTGCACATTTCTCATTGCATGTAATAATTTGTCATTGAGCTCTTATTTTTAATTGAGATGGTGGGCACTACTGTGGAGTGTGCTCGGCTTCAAGCTTAAGCGCAGCCGCGGGTGGTGGATACCACAACCTCGGCATGGTTAGTAGCGAAATGTCATTGCTTTTACTTCTTTTAAATTTAATCATCCTGTTCCCTTTTTGGTATTACCTCTCCATTTCCTTCTCTCCTAGCAGTGATGTCTCTACTCTCTCCTCCTAGTAAATCGCCTACCGTTTTTGTAACCTGTTGTTAAGAATCCTACCGGTCGGGTGAGAAATGCGACAGGTAACGATTCTTAATTGTAACGAGGCGATAGTTCTTAGGCCTATGCCTACGCGATAATGATAGCTAAGTCCTTTTGACTTCTATCTTATCGCGTCTATCCCTCTAAATCTTCTAACTCCACGCCTAGGACTTAAGCGTTGTTCGTGGGACGAGAAATCGTTTTCTCGTATAAGGTGATATAAAGGTTAAAGAGTGTAAAGGTAGGTTTTATTGATAATAACTTTAAAGGTAGGAAATAAACAAGAAGAACATGTGAAGAGCTAGTATTAGGGGTCCTAGTGACCGTTTATATAGTAGCTCTTCACCTGGCATGCCTCATACTTATGCGTCACGTGAACCTTGTGACTCATAACTATGAGTCATGTGAAATCCATCAGCCGACTCCTATGAGTTGCTGAGCAACCTACCTAAAACCACTCAAAACATAATAACCAAGTCAGGTGCGCAACTCACGTTACCTGAGCGAAACCCATAACTCATAATTATGAGTCGTGTGCGAAAATCATAACATTGTGTGACTCACAAGTGTGAGTCACAAACAGCTACACATAATAACCTATGGCGCGCTAGGGTGCGTCATGTGAAATCCCAACATACCTATAGCTCGGAAATCCGAGCTATGTGAAATCTGCCTTGCTTAGTCACAGTTTGTGACATTAGCTCCCCTCTCCCTCAGCCCGAGTCCCATCAGGCTTTATTCTCGCCTCCATCCCCCTTGATGGTCCTTCCAGCTCTTTTCCCCATGGTAGTAGCTACGATTGATTCTTCGGACCGCTCTTGCGGTCCTATCTGAATGTCTCCGAGCCTCCTCCACCTGGCTCTCCAACTGCCTTTCCAAAGCCCCCCTTGCTCCTCTCTCCCTCGCTTGTTCTGTCTTGAATTGACGTACCCTTATCTTGGTTCCTCTCTTTATTGCCTCCAACAACACTTGTGTTAGCCGAAGGTCTTTTTCCAATCCCGCTATCACCCCCTGTTGGTCCTCTGTTTGAGGCAACCTCGGCGTAGCTTCTTCCATCTCTTCCTCCCAGGAGACGTGCCTCGTCTTCCTGGGTTTTGCCCATTTTTGTTTTTTTGCCCCCCTCCACTTCGACTCTGTCCTCGGAGTCGGTTTGATGTATTGTACCACAGCCTCTGGCTCTGGTGTCGGGGATGTCGCGGGTGATCCCAGCAGTGAAGTCTTGGGTGGCCATCAGTTCCTCTCCCAAGGCCCATATCCTGAGCCTTCCTTCTCACTTTTGTGCACTTGGCACTGGTCGTGGTAGCATCCTGTCCATGACAGGTTCGCTTGTTCCCTTTCCGGTGTAGGGGTTCTCGATAGGGGTAAATCCACCAGAATTACCCAGTCTTCATCCGTAGGTTCCTCCTTGGCTGGGGTTGTGTTTCGATACCCCGGGCTTGTTGGTGTGATGTACTTGAACGCGTCACGTTCTGGGACATTTTGTAGTGCCGATGGTATCGGTAATTGTTGGTAGCTTATCTTGGGATGTTCCCAATGGTAGGAGTCCATGCAGTACAATGTGGGTGTGACACGCCCTAATTCGGGCATCTCCTCGACTGTTGGTTGTTGGTTTGTGTGCGTGTCGTTCGTGGAATTGTTGGACTGCATTTTGTGCATGTTTGAAGTTTTCGGCTGGGTACCAGGTCTTATCATGTTCAGGAGAGTAACCTGTCCACTTTGCTCTGTATTGCAAGCAACCGTGGTGTAATCGAGAGTTGATGATTTCTTCGAGTTCATATTCTGATTTACCATCTATTTCAATAGGCGGTGGTGGGGGTTTTTCTTGGAAGGGTAGAGGATTGTCTTGATAAGGTTCGAGGAGGCTGATGTGGAAGGTGTTGTGTATCTTCATCGTGGGTGGAAGGTCGAGCTTATATGCACGCCTTCCTATTTTTGCCAAGATTTTAAATGGTCCTATTTTCTTGTAATCCAGTTTCTTCGTTGGTCGTGTGGTCTTGATATTGTGTGGTAGCAATCAAACCATATCTCCTGACTTTGGGTTTGGATCGGGTTTTCGGTGGGGATCGTATTCTTCTTTTTGTCGTAATTGTGCCGTGACCATTTCTGTTCGTAATATCTCACATAGTTGATTCATATATTTTTTGTCCATTATCTTTCCTTGGAGCATATGACCTATGGTTTCGTGTTCTGGATGTAGTCTATAATTTGCAAAGAAGGGGGTTGTCTTGATAGTTTCTTGTTTTCCATTATTGTAGGCGAATTCAGCCATTGGTAGCCATTCGTACCAATCGTCTTGCTGGTAATTGACGTAGGCTCATAGATATTGTTCTAATATGCTATTTATCCTTTCCGTTTGTCTATCCGTTTGAGGGTGGAATGCTGTGCTCATGCGTCGTGCGATTCCCAGCTTTTCTGTTATCTCCTTCTATATCTCTGATGTGAATAGTGATCCTCTATTACTAATGATGTCCCTTGGTAGTCCGTGCAGCCGATATATTTCTTTTAGAAATATTTTCGCAAATTGGATTGCCGTTATATCCGTCCTGCAAGGTATAAAGTGACTCATTTTGGTCAGACGATCAACCACTACTAAAATGGCATTTTGATCGTTTGATTTCGGTAGGTCCGTAATGAGGTCAAGTAATATTGATTTCCATAGTTTTCCTGCGGCTTCGCTAGATTTGAGTAATCCGTACGGTACATGTCAAACCACTTTAGTTGGTTGACATGTATCATAGTTTTTGACGTATTGTTTGATGTCTTCTCTTATCTTAGGCCAATAGTGCCGTCGGTTGATAAACTTGGTAGTTTTGGCTGTTCCTCCATGTCCCGCATAGGGAGGGTCGTGGTGTTGTTGTATGATTTCTGTGCGTAATTCCTCTTTATCTGGCATCCAGATTTTTCGGTCGTACCACAGGTATTCGTCCTTCTATTCGCGTACTCCCCGGGCTATGCCTTTCATTTCCTTTGTGCCCACATCCAGTTCTTTTCTTATCTTTTGACATTCTTCGTCTTGTTGACTTTCCTTCCTGATATCTTCTTCCAATGTCGTTCTTGTATTGATTTCGTTTAGTGACTCGTAGCCACTATCTTCTTCTTCCATTTAGAAATATTTTTCCTTTGGTAATAAGATTTGTTGTCTTTGTTTGATTCTCTCATCCTCTGGGGTAGTTGGTTTGTCGTTTGACCTTCGAGTCAATGCATCTGGTTTTCCTCCTTCTTTTCCAGGACGATATTCGATTTTGAAGTTGTAACTGCTAAGTTTCTCCATCCATCTTATTTGTCATCCATTTAGTTCATTCGTAGTCATGAAGGGCACTAAGTCTTTGTGGTCTGTAAGGATTTTGACTGATGTATTGTTGTTCTGAGCGTATCTTCTCCATTCCTTCAGAGCCTGAACTATTGCCAATAGTTCTTTATCGTGGACATCATAGTTGCATTCCGCTGGGGTCATCATTTTGGATCAGAACAACACTGGTCTCCATTTGCCATCCTCGCATTTCTGAGATAGTATGCCCGAGCATACATATTTGAAGGTATTTGTTTCGATCATGGTTTCTCTTTCTGGATTGAAATGCACCAAAATTGGTCCTTGGGTGATCTTGGTCCTTAATTCATCAAAGGCCTCCTTTTCCCTAGGTCCCCAATCCCATTGAATGTCCTTTTTGGTTAGGTTGTGCAGTGGTTTAGCCATTCTGCTAAATCCTTCTATAAACCTTAGGTAGAAATTGCAGAAT